ACACACACACACACACACACACACGTATATATATATAAAGCTTTTTTTTCCTAAAGTTGCATGACTGAACAATAGATTCATGAATTCTCTAAGATATAATGGACCTGTTCATCATGTCATTTTCTCAGAGCAAATAGGTCCATTCCTTTGGTGACAGCTTGTACAATGTATCAGACAAGGTGGATCTGAAGAATCACCTCAGATATGCTGGCTATGAAGTATTTGGAGTGATCCTTTCGGTGTGAAAACTCTTACCTATCACCTTAGTTTATTTCTGCACTTAGAAATCCTACAAATGACCTTGTAAACCATTTTATATTTGCAGAGAGAGAAAGAAAAAGAAATGTTCTGAGAAAATGACAGGATAAACATCTCATGGTTTGTGTGTGTGTGTGTGTGTGTGTGTGTGTGTGTGTGTTTTGCCTCAAATGTTCACTGAACTCTCCTAAAGACCCAGACACGGCGCTAGACACCAAGGATTTACAAATAAATAAAACTTGGTCTCTGCGGTCAAAGAGGTTTAGACCCGGCAGGAAAGGCAGGCATGTAAACAGGTAAGAGTATGAAGCAAGCCATGGTACAAAGATGGGGTCTAGGAAGAAGTGCCCACTTCTGCCTGGGAGGGTCAGGGACGGGCTCCTAGCTTGGGCACACACGTTCAAATGGAGTGCAGCATTGAGCCACAGGGACAATTTGAACACCCATCTCAAACTGCTTGAAATTTAAGTAGGGCTTTGATGAAAATCAGACCAATATCCAACATCAGGGGTCAGATATTTAGCTGGCGTTGCATGGATTAAAACGTGTACATGCTGAAGCACTGACAAGAAAAAACATCTGGTGTGTTAGGATCAATTAAGAGGAAAATGGGGCTGTGGGGAGGTGCACAGGCCCCCCCCCCCCCCGCCCCAGCAGGTGCTGGCTCCCACAGCTCCAGTCATCGACATTTTTAAATGGGATTAACTCCATGAAGTGCAAAGTTAAAATGTCCAACTTCAAAACGATACCAAATTTAGTTTGTAGAAGCAAAGGTGATCAGCTTTATATATACTGACTTTATAAGGAGAATAAAAATTTGATTAAAAATACCCACGTTAACTCTTTACAGTTAGTTAAGGAGTACACGGAGGGGAGGGGTGGGGGGCACTGTGTGATGTGGGTGGTTAAAAAAGCATAGGCTAATTATCTCAGAGCAAGTTTTCAGCAAAAACCACAATGGCATAGCTATGCAAAGATTTGATAAAAAGTGAAGTCAAATCTAGTGGAAACCTGGGATTAAAGGAGTAGAAATGGCTGAGGTTTTTAATGCCTCTTTCCTTGGCTGCTTGAGGAGCCTGCCACCAGGAAGTGATCTTAGTCTGGCAGAAATGGATCCCTCCCGTTTAAGAGGGCACGTATGCTGTCTCAGCAGACGTGCCTGCTTCAAATTCCATGTGGAACGAGACGATAGGATGCACACACACATAAGAATTCAGGATAAAAAAACAACACAACGCTGCAGGCTGTGATTTCATAGAGTGGAGGTTTCAATCTCTCCTAAATGAAGTACTTGGGCCAGTTCAAGAGGCCAGAATTGGAAAAGATGAAGTGAACAGCATCTGTAGACAGTGGAAGCAGCATAACTAACTAGCAAAAGTTCTTTTATGCTCAACCCCCTCCCCAAGCCCCGATTCGTTTTGCTTTTTACTTATTTTCAATGTTCTTCTCTTTTCCAGAGGCTTGATCTCAATGTCCCTGCATGCCAGGAGTAGTAAATTATGTATTACAAGATCTGGGCTGAAACATGCTTCATCTTTAGGAAGAAATATAGAGCTGCTTACTCTCCCGAATGAGCAGTACTGTAAACACATGCAGTAAGATACGGCAAACATGTGCCACAATGTGCTAGGGGTTATTGATTACTGCTTCCATCCAATCCATGCCTCAGCCCATTAATGGAAGATCACTTTCAAAGAACTTGTCTGGTTAGGACACTTCGCTGCCTTAAAAAAGTGTGGCGGGTTGGGGAGCCTGGCTGGCTAAGTAAGTGAAGCATCCATCCAACTCTTGATTTAGGCTCAGGTTATGATCTCACGGTTTGTGGGTTCGAGCCTGCATCAGGCTCTGCGCTGACAGCAAAGAGCCTGCTTGGAATTCTCTCTGTTCCTCTCTCTCTCTGCTCCTCCCCTGCTCATGTGCTCCCTCCTCTCCGTCTCAAAATAAACACTTAAAAAAAAATTAAAAAACAAACAAACAAACAACACTTAACCCTAACCTGTTACTTGCAAAGTACAGTTCAGATCATTTAACAGGGCAAAATTCCAGGGAAGTAAAAATGCTTTTCAAGCACAATGTCTTTTCAAGGAAAATCAATCTTCAGGTCTTAATGGTTTTACAAAGCCAGGTACTTCGAGAAAAAACAGTCCTGTTACCCTGACTTCCTAGAAGGGAAACTCACCTTTGGCTCTGGCGTGGATGGCTGAGTGGCTGAAATTCAGTAAGAGGAAATGTGAGAGGACCTCTTCAATGGTACCACTGGCTCCTACATCTTCCTCTAGTGCATGGTATTGTAAATGCCGACTTCCTTGCCTGTATTTCCCCTCTACCTCAAAAGCTTTGTGATGAGAGGGACTGAGTAATGTCAGTACCTAGCACAGTGCCTCCTCGTGGTTGCTCAATAAATATTTGCTAAATGAATGGATATAAAACCATCAAAGCCTGCAGATACAAAGTGGAATAGCAAAAAAAGAAGTAATCCTCTTAATTCACAACTTCATAATAATTATTCTGACTTGGAGTAAAAAATTCTCTGGATTTCTTTCCCCAGAGAGGCAAAAAGGTGAAAATGGCTGGCTGGCTAAGGCCTCTTCCAGCATTCTATGTATGTGCATGCACGAAGCATGTTTAAAACTGTATGACTGAGTCCAAAACGAATACATCAGAATTCCTAAGTGCAAATGAACGTTAGTCCCTTTAAATGTAGGTACTTTGACAAGTTACTTATTCAGTATGAAAACAAATTTGGAATTCTGGAGAATTCTTTTTGTTTCCAATTTAAAGCAAAACCAGGGGCGCCTGGGTGGCTTAGTCGGTTGAGCGTCCGACTTTCGCTTGGGTCATGATCTCGCGGTTCGTGGGTTCGAGCCCCGCGTCGGGCTCTGTGCTGACTGCCAGCTCAGAGCCTGGAGCCTGTTTCAGTCTGTGACTCCCTCTCTCTCTGACCCTCCCCTGCTCACGCTGTCTCTCTCTCTCTCTCTCCTAGAAATAAATAAAACATTAAAAAAAAAAATAAAGCAAAACCAAAAAGCTTTTTAAAAATTCACAAAGGCAATATATATGTGCTACTAAAAACAAATCAGAAATCATAAAAGGAGAAGATAACCGACCCACAATCATACCAACAAAAGCACTACTTAGCTTGAGTAAATCTGAGTCCTCTTCCTATAAACATATCCTATATGTCTACATTGTTTCTTCATAAAACCAGAGTTATTCTATGCTGGCCAACTTCTCGCTTTACCTTAATATAGTATGAATATCCTCCCATATACTTTGCAAGCACAATAATCTGTAGTGTGGCAATGCCAATTTATTTAACCAATGACCCACTGCTAAATATTTAGGTTATTTACCCATCACTATTATATATAAAAAAAAAAAACCCACAACAAACCAAAAAAAACTACATTAAATGTCCTGGCAATCACAATTTAGTGCACACATATTATGTTCTCAGAACTTCCAGAAGCGAATTTTTTGAAACAAGGCTGTACATCTGTAACAAAGTTGATTTGTAGGTAGTTTGTATGTAGCAGATTACCATCTTTTGACAGTAGATATAACCACTGGAAGGAGCCAAGAGTCAGCTGGGATTGAATCTGGTGATTACAGTCAGACATCAAAGGAGGCGATACTATTTTTAGTTGCAAGCCTCTGACTGTTCAGCAGTGTGACCGGTTTTCACATGTGACTCAAAGTGGCTCTGAAGGCAGTTGCAGCAGGAATTCCGAACTGTTGTAAGCTTTGGCTCATTATCAAATTAAGCATATTACTTCCCAAAGACAAAACCATGAAGGGGACACACAGAGCTAGGCGATGCCACTTCCTCAGATTCCTAACACTGCAGCCACGTCTCGTTCACGTGAACAGAAAGTCTCAATTGTTGGGTCAATTCATTTTAAATAGCTGTACTCGTTCTCTGAAAACGTACATACTGGTGGCTTTCCAGGGTGACACTCTCACACAAACACTTATTTACCACTCAGAGAGCCGACACTTCACATGTATCATCTTTTTAATTTTCATACTACCACTAAACATATGGATGTTGTTCTCTCCATTTTACATACAAGGACCAGGAGACTCAGGGAAGAGAAGTGATTTTCCCAAGGCAACAGAGCTGATAGAGGGCAGAGGCAGATGCCAACATGACCTGTTTAGCCTCATGAGCCACATTCCTTCCCTTTTCTGAGCAGCCACGTAGCACCTCTGAGTAACTCTTCAACGTGCCATTACAGGGGTGTTCAATCTTAACTACTAGGATTAAAACTTCTTAATGACTATAACTACCAGTGAACAATCCTATTCTTTATTTAACCTGGAAGTGAACTGAACTGGAGGTATTGCTTATGAATAGGCTCATTCATATTCTTAAGAAAAACTGGCAGTGACTACAAAAACCCATTAATTCAATTTGAATGAAGTAAATATTGATACTAGACTTTACATTTAAAGAGACTTGTCTGGCAAGTGAGTCACGTTTTAACAATAACCATAGTAAAAGGGAAAAAATTAGAGGAGTAAGTTAAATAAAAGGCTAATAAAACTTGAAGGAAACAGCTCAGTGTTTTCTTTTAAACCCTGAAAAACACCATATATATATTTCGTTGCATAGAGTCATTTCAAGAAAAGACTATTAACAATCTAACAGTAAAGTCAACACTAAGAACTTCAATGATATCCAACTCAAAAATGCATAGGGAGAGTAAAGTTATTTTATTAAATCATGCACATCACGTGTGTTAGTGCAAATAGTTTAATCTGTACTCCAGAAATTCTATTGTACTTTATATCTTTACAAAATAGATTTAAAACAATTATTTACTTTAAAAAATGTAATTCTGAAGTTAAGCATTTCAGAACAATATTTGCAATAACCTATATACAAGAGGTACTGGGTACCACTGGCATATTAGCATTCTGTGGTGGAGTGGCTTCCTGCAACAGAAAAGGATGAAATGAACTATATGACAGCATTTTCTACAAGTCATTGGTGACTAATTCCTCCATAAATCTAGTGATCCTCCCAACAGCAAATCCCAAATAGCTTAAAATATAACCTTTAAAGTATAAACAACGACTGCCAAACATCACAAGGCAAATTATATCCTAAACTTCAATTTCAACACTTGGCTAGGCCTGTGGATGCCCACAGAACATTCGAGCCAATTCACTGACATTCCCTCCCAGTTGCACTGACTGAGAAATTTAACGAGGTGAAACTTTAGGATAGTCTACGACCTCAATAAATTTTATTGACATAACTGTGGTGCCGCACAAAACCATAGCTAAACTTTCACTTTTGTGTTTTAAATTTATAACATCAAGCAGTGTTTAGGTGCTTCACTGTGCATGGAACACTATTAATCTTGGGAATGATGCTTCTCATAAACAGAACGTCCCAATTAACAACAGTAAAAAGAAAATAACCATTTGCATACCTGACCAGGAAATCTGTTGGTAGGTAACAACAGCTCACCTTGAACATGAATTAGCTTTGAAGTATCATAACCAAATTAAGTCAGTAAAAGCTTATCTAAAGAGATATTAATTCTTTCTTCAATTAAACATGCTTGGAGGAAGAGATGATAGAAAAAAAAAATCATGCTTCCTAAAATGCCGTATATGAGAAAGTAACTTGGTTTTTAAAGAAAATATCTCTTTAAATACATGAGGTTTAATAAATTACATTCCAATTGACTCAACAGTTTGGTTTACTGCACTGAAATTGTAGAATTACTGTTTTTGCTCCCAGAAATACTTCAGTTTGCTCAAGAAAATACACACTCTCATGGAAAGGTTTTCAGAGTTGACGTCCTCCACATCGTCAAGTCACATTAAGGCTGAACAAGCGTGCACACAGTCCCCGAATTATCACTAGAACAGAATATTTTCCAAGTGTATTTCTCCTTAAAAAAAAAAAAAGAAAGAAAGAAAGAAAGAAAATCCACGCAAATAGTTGTCTCTAAGTCTTGTTCCCAATAGCTCAGTGGTTTTATAACAAGTAAAAATGGCGTAAATATGTAAAAAAAATATATATATGTGTATATATTTCAAACTGATAGGCACTGAGCACACAGGGCCTCTCTTCCCATGTATGTATTGGTTGTTTGGTTTGGGTAGTTATCGAATCAGAAAAATGAATCATCTGGCCATTAGAATTCAGAGTAAAATACCCATAAATTTAATGTTATAAATAATTTGGTGTACCAAGAAGCCTACTTTAGGCCACCATAATATTCAGAATCTCAACGTACTAATTTAAAAATTACATGAAAAATTGCAAGCAAATTATTGCTTACAGTAGAATAAAGTCACAATTTTATATCCTCTTTATAGATAGATACATTTTATATAAGTTAAAGCAATGACCCTACAGCTGTATTCTTGCACTTCTGCTGTCTTAAGAGGTAAAAAGGAAGAAAATGGTTCTGTTTGTCCCCAGCATGAGTGTGATGCCAGCTTCTAAAGGGAGGACGGTGTACGGACTCAAGAAACGCTCTCATGGAGAAGCTCTGGCCAGACCTGGCACGTACAGCACGATGGCTGTCACCGCAACCAGGGCAGCCAACATGGGCATCCAGGGCCAGGGTTTCTGTGTGGAAAGAAACCAAGAGTCAATATCACATTCTTCCCTCTCTTTTCATACCTATTAACCCTTTGGTTCCAGAGAGTCCTGAATACTTAACAGAATATTAGAAAAACCTTATCTTTGCATAAGAATAAATTTTAACAAGAAAAGAAAACAGATGAGGGAGTGCAGGTTAAATGGCATAAATACGTAAAAAAAATATATATGTGATGTATATATTTCAAACTGATAGGCACTGAGGAGAGTCATTAGAGCAGGAATGCTTTTAGAGGACGGTTGTATGGAAGTTACATTCAGTCTTGGGCAGTTTTCAATTTTGTTACAGTTGAAACCTAATAGTGACCTCTAAGAAACCCTATGGGCTGGGCTTGCTTTCTTTACTCCAGTGTCCAAATACTGCAACTATCTGATGTACACAGATGCCTGGAATACTGTCGGCTTAAAATGTTTATTTCTTCTTTTTTTAATGTTTATTTCTTGATAAAAACCAGATTTCTATGTGGGGGTGGTTTTACAGAAGGGGCTGGGGGGTAAGATGATAGAAAGAAAATGGTCTACACTTTGATCCTCTACTTGGAAACCACAGAAGACAAGATCAGATGGGGTTCAAGATGAGGAAGAGCTATTAGGACCCCTGCCTCTTTGATACTTTGGGTAAAAACCACGTCCAGTGCAGTAATGTCACATGATTATCTCATGTTCTACTAACACACATGCCTGTTGCAGGCAAGCATGGGTGGGCTATTCCCTGTTAACTTTTGGAGGGTTTACGTGCTCTGGTTGATAGCTTTATTTTCCACTCATGTTCTAAGAGGCTTACTGAGAAAATTGGCTTTTAGAGAAATATTCTCATGTTGCAGATCAGGGCTCAAAAAGATATGGGATAGGTTTATACTCGTATAAGTAAATGCATATTGGGGTTGAGATCATGAGCCAATGGTCCATTATGCTAATCGCATCCTTTTTCATCATCATAGTCACAGTATAAATATAGGCAAAGGTTGAAATGAAGAAATTCTACACTACAGAAAAGAAGAGGGAAAGGAGGAGGGGGAAGAAAGCTGGCTGAAAACTTCAAAGAGGCAAACGCTTCATTTCTCATTCAAATCTGATTAAACATGTAATTGGGAAGAGGGTACTAATAATATTGCAACAATTCACAGTCTATTCCGGTTTGCTAGAGACAAAGACTCAGTTAAAGGCAGCACATTAACAACTGGTTAGGTTGGAATTAATTCGTGGTTAGCATTACTACAAAGGAAACAAGACAAAATGTTATGCGATTAGTTGATTGTTCAGTTCATTTGTATGACACAATACATGGCATACTAAATGAAGGGTTTGCTTCAGGCAACAGAATACCTGTGTGATTCTGCCATGCACTATACTACAAATATGGCACAAACAGGTGACGGGGACGAACAGACAGGACTCAACAGTAGTGCTTGTACCTTTCTCTACCACAATGGACCGAAACACCAAAACAGGAAAGCCAGGAATAGGCCGATGAATACGGCTGGGACGGGTTGTAATATGGAAGGCTAAAGAAGGGAAGGGATATTAAAATCATTTTATGCTATAAAAAAATCAGATAAGATGATTTAGACCCCAGGGGGGTGGGAAGAAGGGTAGGAAGACTGAGGTAATAGAATAGCACTCAGGTTTTGAACTGATTTCAAACATTTTAAAGACATCTAATACAATTCAGAATAATGGACTGTGGTGTGTAACCAGCAGTTTAAAGGGACGGCTGGAAGCAACAGGCAATGTGGGTGCCCCTAGTGCGCTAATTAAATGCGGCACGTTAAGACAGAGCCATGGCAACATTTTAGTGACTGATGTTCTGCTGGACAGTACATTGTTTTTGCTCTGTACTTGGAATCCATTATTTGACAATGTAGTCCCTTAGAAATGGCTAAAGATTATTTGATCCTTCCATCAAAACCTTTTTTAAACCAAAACTTGTTTGTATGAGATGGTATTGCTTTCAAGCTTAAAAATGCCCTGTGATGTATGCTTCCTAAACCGAGCAAGAGATCTGACACAATGTGTGATAAACATATGATATATAAAGGTAGGCAGTTGAGTCTCAGGGCTTCCAGTTATGTTACTGGAATATAATTAATTTTTTAAAATGGATGGAGTTACTGCAATGAGTTTTACTACAGAGAAAAATTTAGTGCCATAAGTCTAATACAATAAAAAAAGGTAATTCACCTTTTAGGCAAATTACTGATACAACTATAAATAATAAAAGCCAGGTTACTTTTGAAAAGGCTCTAAAATAGTACAAGGGGATCCATTCTGATTATGCTAGATGTCTTCGCAGGTTAATTTAGTAGAAGGTGGACTGAAATTCCAAATTCAGAAAGATATGATTTAACACGAGAAATAATCAAACCATTATAATCTGATTTCAGAAGACTTCTGTAATCTACATTTTCAAAATAAATGCAATTTTGCTTAGCATGGAGCCTCATGCCCAATTTATCAACTTCTCAAAGGCTCCACCTAAGCAACAAGGCTTTATTTTCTAAAAAACTAATAGCGAAGGACAGCTGGACACAACTCATGAGCATTCTGGACGCAACTGTGTCACTGGATGCCATGCAACATCAGTCTCTTGTACTTGTGCGGCAAAACCAAGCAGAGTGTTTTCCTCTGCAGGAAGGATTTGGCTTACACCACTGCAGTGTCCAAGCCATGACACGGATTTGAAATAAGTCAGAGCACAACCAACTACACTGAACAGCCATCAGTTAGGTCCCACAAAGGCAATGGTCACCGAAACGTATAATAACACAACATTTATTTAGTACAACATCTTTTTAAAGACTATCTGCCTTCTTGGTAATGAAAAACAAATATTAAACTCAATTTATATGAAAATGTTCCAATTTCTCTCTCTCTCTCTCACACTCACACACACACACACACACACGCACACACACACATAGCTTTACAGAAACTCACCAAATATTCCCTAATAGTTATAGGAAGTCAAAAAGACACCAAGCTTTTTAGGAATATGTTGTAGTGAGAAAATTATTAGTATAAAATGAAAACTATAACGAAGTCTCCATTTTTTGATATACCCAAATGCTAAGGAGTTGACATGCACTACTCTTTCTTAGGTGGGTCTCTGGTGGTACAATGCTTCATTTCCCAGTAAGGGAAATGAAGTGCCAGATGATGGCTTGGTGACAGAACTTTAGATTCATCTGGGAAAATCTGACAGTTCTTAGGTAGATTATTTTCTTGCAAATAAGGCTCTTCTTCCAGGCAGTCCTCAGGTTCTTCTAGGGATACAGATTAAAGGGGCAGATTTTTACTCAAAAATTTGATAGCACAATGATTTCATCATGGAATTTTATAATGAAAAGCTCAGTTTATGTACTACAGGCCTCAGTTTCTCAAATCAGTATTAAGTCCTCTGAAGACACTTATTTCGGGGCTTTCACCTGATTCTCAGTCAAAGCTAAGGCAAGTTTGCAAAGACTTACATTATTTCCTTTCTCTCGGAGCAGCTTCAGGTTGTCTTTACATTGTTTGAGCTCATCTGTGATTGATTGTTTTTCCTGCTCAGTCATTTCAAACTTCAACTTCAGTTCTGAGAGTACAGTCTGTGTCTTTTCATACTAAAGGCAAAGAAAAAAGAGTGTGCAGACTCAACTTAAAATGGGTAGGAAGTTATGGTTCTCCTCAGGCTTAATACCAGACCCTATTTAGCCACCTGGAACACCAAAGTCAAGCCTTTTTGTTTCAAAGATGGTAAGAATCATTTGCACTAATAATAGGAAGTCTTTAATGGTAACTTTATTTTATGTAAGAACTTTCTGGCCCTGGAGTTAAAAAAAAAAAAAAGAGAGAGAGAGAGAGAGAGAGAAAGCACCGTTATGTCATCTGTTTCTAATATAAAGGGTCACTCTTTCCATTAAGTGAATTAGAGGAGGAAAGTAAAGTAATTTTCAAACTGAGCAAAAGAAAAGCAAGTGAAGAAAAACTCCAAAGGCTAATTAAATGGCAAGATTAGGAAGTCTGAGTTTATATCTTGGTAACCAATGTCAGCCAAGCTATTTTAGTCTTGAAGTAAAAAGTATTAACTCCCATCAGGCTTTCTTTTACCCAGGCATCACTAAAGTGTTCTGGATAAATGAATTTCTAGGCGAATGAAGTAAAGAAATAGATCCAAAGTACTGACTGACCACTGTGACTGGGGCATTTCTATCTTTCTACCTAAAACTTATAAACATCAATAAATAATTTTTAAGAAGCTGTTCCTGATAAACACTTCTCTATAGTGAAACATGCCACTTCCTGCTCTGAAAACCAGTTCACTGAATAACTTAATGTTCCGACAGATAAGCTATCCTTTGAACACAGGTGAGGCCAATGCAAGACACAGCATGGTTTGCCCCTACTTCAAATGCCCCAGGAGGTAGGAATTCTAGATTGGTTCTGCTTCTAGATACTGCATCTTATATGCAAGCTAGGCTCCCAATCACAGAGCAAAAACCATCCTGCTGCTGGTTATGCTTTTGTCTCAGCCTTTACTGCCCCACTCTCCCATCTCTGAAGGTTTTAGAAGGAAGAAAGGCAGACAGGGCTGAGTATAATATAAATATGTCATGGGTCCAGCATACCAGAGAGATTTCTCCTTTTCCCTCCTATATCCCAGATATTTCTCAATAAAGGAATGCCTTTATGTGGTGCTTCTGAATAAACCAAATACTTTGGAGTGATTAATTAGAAGCTCATCTTTATGCACTCCAAAGATAAATATTAAGCAGGATGCAAATGTATAAAATCATTAGTCAGAAAAGGTGGGGACAGGGGGATTAAGGTCAGCAGAGAGATCACCAGTAAATGGGAAGAAAGATATGGGTCTAGAGAGGGAGGTCAAATGTGAGAGGAACTCCTTGTTACCTAACAATGTTCCCCAGAAAAGGCCAGGTAGTATGCCAGACAATGAACTAAGGAGTAAGATTCATGGACTTAATGACAACTTTTTTTGTGGGGTCTGTGGACTTCCTTTCAGAAGGCAGAAGGCTGCTGGCGGGCTGCCAAAGCAAATTCAGTGTACCTAGACTAGTCTCTTAGAACATAATCAATTCTCAATGATCTGATTCTTAACAGTGAGTAATAAAGGATAAGTGAAAAGTGCTTTGCTGACCTAAATTTTCCCTTACATTGCTTCTCCACCATTTTTACATCCAGCTTTCCCTTTACACCAAAGCACTTAATCATTTCTCCATTCCATGGGGTGTGAAGCAGAGTGACAGGAAGGCAGCCAGTCAGGAAGTGCCTGCTGTTTACCTTCAGCCTGTGTGGAGGGTGGGAGGAGACTCGCCCTTGCTTCACCGCCAGCTGGTAAAGCCAAACAACTTTCTGGAGGTAGTCCTTGCACGACTGGCTTGTGTACACAACGTTTTATGAATTCTCAAATTATAGGTATCCCTACTAAATTCAAGTATCAAGATGCTTTTAGTCAAATATAAAGATGATATACCATTGTTTTTCTCTATTTTAATACCGAAGATTAAAAATTACTTCCTTAAGTACTTATGTTTCGTTAAATGTTCAAATAAAAGTTGCCATATATATAAAACTCAATTGTTGGAACAAAGGTCACTTTCTGCAGCCTTACTTTCACACCTGGCTTGGGTATCAGTTTTGCTCCATCTTGCTTTCTAACTCAAAGGTAAGAAACGAGCTCAGTACTGATTAAGAGGGAAATACCACACAATATTACCAACACCTTTGGTTCTTCTTCATAAAAATAATCATATGTGGCTTGCTTAGCTTGTAATGTTTTAGCCTGTTACAGTGCTGAAGATACATGATACTGTGCACATTAAGCATGATTCTATGAGAGAAAGGAGAACAAAGGGGAAATGTTGAAAGAGAATATATATGCATTAGTAAAAGGTAGTAATTCATTTGCAGTGGATTACACAGATAAAAGAACCTCATTAAAGAACATCTCAGTTACAGACTAGTATCCAGTAGTTGACATCAGGACAAACAGAAAAAGAAGCAATTTTACATTACAAAGGAGTGTGATGACCATATCATTTCACAATGGAAAACACTGAACAAGAAAATAGAAAAGAAACATACTGACAAGTTCAGACATATTTTTAAATGTGCTGCATTTAATGCAATCCAGAGCTATCAACAGTTGAGATGCTGTGACAACATGCCACTGCCATTTGAGGAAGCAGTTAAAGCATTTCTCACTGATTGCTCAGTGACCAGAAACAGGCAAACAGATAATGCAACGCAACGGCCAGTGCATTCACAGTAACATACAACAGAGTCGTCTTGCAACCACAGCATTCTCCCCAGATTCTGAAAGGACTATGGCATATGGACTGGAAGGGCACAAAGTGCTTACAGTATTAAATACTAGGATATTTACTTTGGCACAAAATTTGTGTTCCAACTAAATAAAATGAGGTTTCTCCCAGAATGCATATCCTTAGCAAGAAGATAAAAACGAACATGTTACAAAATCAGTATGGCCACATGTAAATAATATGTTACAGTTTTTTTTTTCTTTAAGAACAAACATGAAGACAGAGGAACAACAATCATGTCCACGTTCAGGATACTACAAGGAAAGGGAAGTGCAAAGAAAAACTGCATTGGTTAAACAGATCTTCTAAAAACAACTTTGGGCAAGTTTGTTATTAAAGACAAAGAGTTGTCTTCAATTTCCTTTTATGTATAATGAATCCTTCATTTAAGAGAGTCTACAGCTGGGGCACCTGGGTGGCTCGGTCAGTTAAGTGTCTGACTTTGGCTCAGGTCATGATCTTAAGGCTCGTGAGTTCGAGCCCTGCACCTGGCTCTGTGCTGACAGCTCAGAGCCTGGATCCTGGTTCAGATTCTGTGTCTCCCTCTCTCTCGGCCCCTCCCCACCTTGTGTGCACTTGCTCACTCTCTCTCTCAAAAATAAATAAATAAACATTAAAAGAGAAAGAGAGAGAGAATCTGTAACTGGGGTGGGCCCCGACCAGTAGGTCAAGATGCACCAGCCTTCTCTGTCCCCGGGGTTGGCCAGGACTCAATGTAGGGAGAATAAGGCAGCAGGACTGAATGCAGTTCTTTGCCTCATTGTCACCTTCAAGGCTTTGCTCAGAAAGAGGCTGGGTGGGGTCTCTACTCCAAAATCAAGTCAAGGTTTTACGCCAAATGATATGAAAAGTGAGCATACATATTTGTGAAGAAGGGAAGAAGAAGGGGGAAAAGGGGTGGCGGTGGGGGAGAAGAAAGTAAAAGGTCACAGAATCTGTGTTTGGCTGGCTGGCTATGAGGTGAATTTTAAGTAACTTTCAGGCTATCTAAACTGCGGGGTTTAGATAGCATTATGGTACAGCCCCACTTTGCTTTCCAAAAGTATTCCAAGTTAAATCTGATATTGTCTTTGAAAGATAAACAATGAATTGAGTAATCTGGTACAAAGGGCTTCTCATACAGGTCAGCTACCTGGTAGAGAAAAAATTTTAATGTAATTTTGCATATTTATATTTTTGAGAGCGAACTCTCTACTAATGAATTCTCTCTATATGGACCATGATACGCAGCTAGAAATCACCAAGCAGAGATGCTCCAATTATCAACTTTGTGACAGGTAATGGGACTTCTGCTTCTCTTTATTTCTAACTAGCATGAATATCTGATTTGCTTTTGCCTTTAAGTCCAACCATAATTGGGCTCATAATGTCTTTTCGCTTTACCTCTTTCTGTACATCCTTTGCTTGGTTTTCAGCCTTACTGAGAAGAGTTTTTAAATCAGCTGAATCCCGAAGATGCTGTTCTTTCAAGGATCCCACTTGACTCTCAAGCTCTTTCCTAGTCATCTGAAGGATGCTGAGATCACTGGTAAGCTCTAAACTCTGCTTCTGAGAACTGCAACATAAATATTAACAGTTATTCAATTCATGTAGAAACTAGACATAGCAGGAAGTCCAATTGCTTATACATTTCACTAGGAGGGATGGAGTAAATTTCAGAGGAGGAAAAAGTACATTAAAAAAAAGGTATGTTCAATAAATAAAAAGCATTAAAACACTAAAAAATTGCATGTTTAAAGCTGTGTTCTATTTTCAGATTATCAAATATACAGAGAGGCTAAAATCTTGAAAGCAGAAGTAGGAGGTGACTAATTGCATTATTTTGTTACATCACATTATATTATTTGTATTATAAAAAGATAAGTGTGGGGCTTCCCCAGGAAAATAGCAAACTTTTCAACTATCTTCTTATTTAAGTACTTGACAAATAGAAACTTACAGCTTAGGAGCCACTGTCAATTCAAGTAAAGATAAAGCTCCTCAAGTGAAAAGACACACCAAATTGGGGTGAAAGCCTGAAATGAAGAACCAGGAGGCTGGGTTCTAGACTCTAGCTCTGCCACTATTAAGTTGTGAGATGTTGAGCAAGTCACTTAACTGATGCAGTTTACTTCTCTGAGCAAGCATTTCCTGAGCTCTTAGGTCTGTGCCAGGCACCACGTTGCACAGACATAAATAACACAAGGAGCATCTCAGTGCCTGCCACCGTCAAATAAGATTGAACTCAATAATTTCAGAGGCTGTTTTCTGGCTTAAATTCTATAATCACTTTTACAACTTGATGTAAAAAAAAAATCCAATTTACACACGAGGAAAACAGCTTGATAGGCATGAATAGAAATTCTTTGTTCAATTCCTTGTGCATCACAAACAACAAAAAACAAAAGACCTTCACAGTGTAGCTGTTTGAAAGAATGTGGCTCCCATCTACAACAGAAATAGCTAAAGAGGAATAAAGTTTTCAAGATGACAGTTTTATGCTCCTCAGAAAGGATCATAAGATTCAGGCTCGATATTATTAACCAAGGCACTATGGAGTGTAAATTTCATTCTGATCGTATGCCAGGCAAATTCTTAGGGGTGAGTGTGATGTCAGCCCAGTATAGCTAGGAACTAAATGGCACAGAAGACTCTGTAAAGGAAGATTAACTTCTAAATGCTACTTAAATGTTGAGGAGGCTTACCAAATAAACTTAGAGGGCCACTAAACTAGAAAAGTTTAAGAAACAGAATTAATTTGTCTTAAATAGTTTGTGACTTTAGGCAGACAACCTTGACTAATGATATAATATATTCCACCCTTCTGGGACCTAATATTTTTATAAAATGTATGTCTTTACCTTATAAGGAGCTTGTTGCTCTTCAACGTTTCAACAAAATTTGAATTAAAAAAATAGCACTTAAAAATCTGCCAGATTCCAGTTAACTACATTTCAAGAATGAAGGATCAAGTTTAAATCTTTAAAATATCAATAATCCCAAAGCAGGAATGATTTTAGATAATCAATATTAGTAATCAAAGATCAGTATTCCTCTTCTTTTATTTTCTTTTTTTGAGTAGTCTCCACACCTAATGTAGAGCCCAACATGGGGGGCAGGGCCTGAGTTGAGATCGAGAGTTGGATGCTTAACCAACTGAGCCACCCAGGTGCCCCAAAGATCAGTATTTCTCACTTATGATAGAATACCAAACTACATGGATTCACTAAGATTCCAAATATAAGGAATTTGAGAGTGTCTAAATCCCTTATAATCCCTTTATACCAAACAATTTGCCCAAATGTGCTGTCAACACAGACATCAGTTGGTACATACATATATATTCACATGCATATAGTTGTGTCTGGGCCTTTATTTTGTCCTCTTCAGATTTTGGAATTGTTTTAATAAAATTTTACATGTTATAAACATATTTCCTCTTTGTTGTTAATTACCTCTAAACATTTAAAAAGTATAACACATAAATGTGTATTACATTACATAGATATACAAAAGACTAGAAAGATAGGACACTGAAAGAGAAAGAAGTTTTATAGATATTGATAACACATGGTATTGTAAGAAGGCATCTTAGGGGCGCCTGGGTGGCTCAGTCTGTTAAGTGTCTGACTTCGGCTCAGGTCATGATCTCATGGTTCGTGGGTTTGAGCCCCGTGTCGAGCTCTGTACTGACAGCTCAGAGCCTGCAGCCTGCTTCAGATTCTGTGTCTCCCTCCCTCTCTGACTCTCCCCTGCTCATGCTGTCTCTCTCAGAAATAAATAAAACATTAAAAAAATTTTTTTAAAAAGACATCTTAGAGAATAAATGAACACTCCTTGTTCCTTCAACCAGTTTTTGATTTTTAAAAATGTATAATCTATTGTAATTGTTTATAAGCAGATGAGGCTTACCATTTCCTGATATATCTAGTCCTTTCTTTTTTTTTTTTTTTAAATATTTTTATTTATTTCTAGGAGAGAGAGAGAGAGAGAGAGACAGCATGAGCAGGGGAGGGTCAGAGAGAGAGGGAGACACAGACTCTGAAACAGGCTCCAGGCTCTGAGCTGGCAGTCGGCACAGAGCCCGACGCGGGGCTCGAACCCACGAACCGCGAGATCATGACCTAAGCGAAAGTCGGACGCTCAACCGACTAAGCCACCCAGGCGCCCCTATCTAGTCCTTTCTTTATTGTTTTCCCCTAAAGCGTGTTTTCCTAGGAACGACCTTGATCACAGAGTTTTTGCTAACCTTGATGCTCTTGAGGAGTAAAAACACAAGGCTAACTAACGAGAGTAAGGACTCCCATTTCTGGTGTACTGTGGGGAGGGAGATGGATTCATTAAGATTAATTAAGAGTAACTTCAATAATAAACATGTATGAGGGCGCCTGGGTGGCTCAGTCAGTTAAGTGTCCAACTTTAGCTCAGGTCATGATCTTATGGTTCATGGGTTCAAGTCCTACTTTGGGCTCTGTGCTGACAGCTCAGAGCCTGGAGCCTGCTTCGGATTCTGTGTCTCCCTCTCCCTCTGTCCCTCTCTCACTTACACTCTGTGACTCTTTCTGTCTCAAAAAATAAACATTAAAAAAATGAAGAAAAAAATCCACGTACTATTTTCACATTCTGAATTATAACATAAACATTGTTTAAATAAAAATATGGAATGGATCAAATTTTTAAGGAAGAAATTGATTTTAATTTTTTTTAATGTTTATTCATTTTTGAGAGACAGAGCACAAGTGGTGGAGGGGAAGAGAGAGAGGGAGATACAGATTCCTAAGCAGGCTCCAGGCTCTGAGTTGTCAGCACAGAGTCCGACACAGGGCTTGAACCCACGAACCATGAGATCATGACCTGCGCCAAAGATGGATGTTCAACTGACTGAGCCACCCAGGCACGCCAGGGAAAAATTGATTTTAAACTATACATCAAATGTTGATGGGGAAGCAGGAGTCCACTAAATCTGCTGGAGTAAATATATTGTCTTCGTTGGTTTGTATGTAAAGTATTGGATATTAGAAAGACATAACTGATCATATAATATTATTACTCTTTATATAACTGTGAAATTCGAAAGCTGAATTTGTATCTTTCAATCTTATAAATTCTTTATTATAGTCATCTCCTGATCACCCTTACTAACAGAAGGGATCATTGGTGTGAAAGAAAAATAATTTGTATTTGAAATTTTTATCACTTAATCTATAGGAAAAATTCAATCACTGATTTTAGATCTTTGCCATTTGTTCAGCGCTTTGGTGAGAAGTTGTATTCCATGAATATACCCTGAGTACACCAAAAGGAAAGGACATGTAGAATGAAGGTGGAAGTAAAAAAAAATACTGCTGAAGTATTACTGCTGAAGTATTCCGCTATTGTGCTTAACTTGTCAAATAGCCAAAAAGAGCCTGGCTGATCATTTTGCTGCAAGAAGGTAATTAAGTATCAAATTTAAATTCAATTAGATGAAAATTTAAGATAAAGAAATATTTTGAAGCTAAAAAAGAGTTCTTGCATACTTGTGTAATTCTTTTTCTTGCCGCTGCAGTTCTGATGATAACAAAACATTTTCCTTTTTTAGAGAATGGCATTCGGTTTCCAATACATTCCATTCCTTTCTCAACTTCTCTAGTTCACCTAAAATAGTCCCAAAATATATTCATTAATATAGGAACATAACTTCCATAGTAATTCAGAGGATAAGGGAAATATTTCAGAGAAAAACATACCTTTCCCCCCAACCAAAAACTATATATTTTACATGGCTATTCTTTGATTCCTGTTTATTTTGCATCTCTACCTCAGGTAAGTCCCACCACCTTGAACTTCATATGACAAATCATTCTTTTATATGACGAATAATTCTAGTAGTATTTAAAATATTGTAAAAAATGTCAATTTAATTTATTGTAGAACTTGCAGACCTGAAGAATTTTTACAGCCCCAACATAAAAACATTACTTTATACAATCAACTGTGATCAAAGAGAAAAATAGTCCAAATGGTTATTCTGTGCAAATTATAAAGTTATCACTGTCAAGAATTAAGAGTTTTACATAAAATACGTGTACTCACCTTGTAGCCTTGTTGCTTCCTCTCTCTGCTGGTCCTCACACTGCTGACACCGAAGCTGAAAACTGTTTTGCAGACTTGTGATTTCTTTCTCATATTCAGACGCTGCTTTCCGCCACCGCTCAAGCTCAGCTCGCACCTTCTTAAGCTCGTCTTGTAATGAAGCAATGTCAGTGTCCCGCTCAGAGGCAGCCTTTTCTGCTGCCTGACGAAGGAGCAAAATTTCATCTCGGGCACTAAGCAGTTCATCTCGAGTGCTTGTGATTTCACTGTCCTTCTCCTCCCGGAGATTCTCAATATTGATGTGTAACCTCTGCAGTTGGGCTACAAAAGGAGATTTATCTGTCATTTTCTTTGTCCAAAGCAATTACAAATCAATGAACTGCCCAATTGGGTCTATAGTTACTACAAACTGTACAAACAATCTGTGTTTAATGCAGAAATGTCAAAATACAGAAACACAGAGAGTAAAAACCAGAGTGATCTTTTTATTTCTCCCACACAGAAAGTTCCTTCTAACATTTGGTATTTATATCTAGATTTATTCTAGATTTTTATACACGTATAAAAGCAAAAACAAAGAGGGACTCTAACATATATGGTGTTCTCTTTCCTGTTGGTAATGAATATCTTTTACTAACAAAAAAGTTACACTGTGATTTCTTTGACTAATCCTTTATTTTAGATATTTTAGGCGTTCAGTTTTTAATTACTATATATAATACTGCAAGCCTGATTTTTTTTCTTAGAGTGAATTCCTAGACATAGAATTGCTTGGTCAGATGGTATGCATTAGTTTCCTGTTCTTGATTCAATTTTCTGTTCAAATATCAATTCCTTTAAGAAGCTTTCTCTGATGACTTATCTAAAAATAGCCCTTTCATTCTCTAGCCCATTACTCTGCCTTTATTGGATGCCACATTATATATTTGCTTACTGTTTATCTTTTCCACTGGACTGTAAATCTCTTGCATATTCTATCTTCAATATTAGCAAATAACCAGGAATTATTGGTTGAATTAATGAACTGACAACATTAATGAATACTGCCCAATCAAGGAGGTGTATTTTTAAGATTTATTCTTATGCCCTCAAGACTTGAACTGGAAAGAATCTGTATAATATACTTGGTTCAGAACTAGAAAACTAGTGCTAGTTACTATAACACTAGAAAATTACAGGTGGAAAAATTCCTTAGGGTAGAAAAGAATAATAATTAAAATAATTAAGAAGAAAGGCTGAGAAAGGGGGAGGCTACTCGATAAATAAGCATTAAAAAATTAGGCCTCTTAGAAAGTTTGCAGGAAGCACTGAGAGGTTAACAGGTTCAAAACCTGAAAAGACATAATGGCCAGAGATGAACAGGACCATATGCTTGTGAATAAAGTCATGAAATACACATGCTGGCACAGGGGGAGCTCAATGATGCCTAGGTAAGACAGCTTTAAGAACAAACGCAGCTCTAGTTATAGAATCTTTAGGGAAAATTGACCAAACGCAGTACAGAACGGAAATATAGATTGAAATCAGATTTATATAAGCTAATCGATAAAGGCTTAAATTATAATAAGAGTTTAAAGAATTTCCTATCAAAAAGGCAATCTACCTCAAAATTCTAACTTGACCATAATAAAATTTAAATTTTTAAGAAAACCCAGAAGACTGCTTTTTCTCAGGGATATTTTAGGGTAAATATTATAGGCCTCAGACGGTGATTTCCTATTTTTTCTGTACTGAGATTACTTGACTACTTTCTTCTCACCCTACATCTCAAACTAAAACTTTCAAATAACATTAGTTCTTTCTTTCAATAGCAATTTTGTGTTATAGGAATTTTACAATCGCATGGGAAAGAAAGGTCTCTCCTAGGGCTCTCACATTTAGAGCCTAACAGTGCCAGGAACTCTGGCTCGAAGAAAACCCTTGGCAGGCAGGGATCTTTCTGGTCATTTCTGGAATGAACCTGTGACAGCCCACACAAAGAGACAGCAAAACGGTGGGTATGAAGAGCAGCCTCTACCAATGAAGGCAGTGCAGGGATCATTGTGCTCTTCCATGTGATATATAATTTTTGTTGTAATGGAAGTATGTTATGAGCATTAGAAATGATATCATCAAGCTAAAAGTGCTAATGCACAGAGCAGCTCAAATTGATGTCCTGTCCAAAGACCCCCTGTGTAGTAACTCACTACATAACCCAGAAAGTGACAGTCTTACCAAACCCATGTCTTCACCCATGTTCTTCCCACTCCAAGTGTCTACTATTGGAGTATTAGGGAATCTTCTCTTGTATCTTCTTAAAACAAACAAACCAACACACCAAAAAAAAAAGCCTACCAAGAGGTCTAGTTATAGTCTCAGATTCTAGGGACAAACGAAAGCCGTGAAAAATGGGAACCCACCCCACTCTTACTTTCCATTCCTTTTGAATCACAACAAGCAAACAATAATAATCCCACATAGCCCTGAGGTGTTTCATACCTTGAAGAACCTGTATTTGTTTACTGGATTCCTCAACTTGATTTCGATAGGCTTTTCTTTCTTCTTCCAAAAGAGCTAAAAATAAAATACAATATATCTAATTTTGTGAGTTAATCGAAGTATTCAGAATTGAGCAGCTGGAAATTTCTAAGAAATTAAATTTTATTTCTAAGAAGGAAACAAGCTATGGAGTAAGTATTATCAGTATTAGCTGTTAGATAGTTTAAAGATTTTAGGAGCACAAAAGAGTAGTAATAAATACATTCAATTGAGTAACAGTTTTTTAGACCTTGTATCACCAAGATAATATGTGCTATTCTTTACATGAGAAGCATTCTTGATAGTTGTTAATCAGCATTTTTGAGCTTAAGTTTTAAAAATAGACTTAACATCCTCATGTTTACCATCAAGGACATGGTAAGTACCGACTAACAGAAAGTTCTGAGTTCCTCTTAGGATGCGAATCTTCCTCCTGATCAGGAAGGCCATCTTAGAGAACATGAGGACTCCACTGGCCACTTACTTTCTCTTTGTTTTTCTAAGACTTTCTAAGATACCAGTGACTGCAACTAGGTAGTTATTGTTAAAGATATGGAAATGTCAGCTCTGGAGAAAGAACAGTCCAGACTCCACTGGCCTGTGACACTATGGATGAGTAAACTACTAGAGAAGAAAGTGGCTGGGACACCGTGAAATCCTTTTATCTTGCCTGGTTCCTCCCATTTCCTGAAGAATATGCTATAAAATCACAGGGAAGGTAAGTTTCCCTCATCTTCTACTGAAGAGCCAACATTAGGTGTAACTAAAACTTTGGAACTGAAATACATCATTTTTTTCCTTTTGTTGTACTTTATAATTAACTGTTAAGACCTTTTATTGGTACAAATCCTTCTTGATTTTCACAATGGAATGTGACCAATAATGGAAGAAAGTAGAGCAACTGGGGCTCTCCCCACTTTATTAACCCGAAACATAAGTTCAGGGAGGGTAAGTGAATGTCCCAAGATCCCATATCCAATAATGTTGTGGATCTGGAACAAGATACCATACCTCTGGACTCAGTTATATCACAATGCTTCCACATCCCCTAAAGAATCAAAGTAATCTTGATCTCACCTTGAAGTTCAAAGCATTTTTGTTTACTTGCTCTAGCTAGTTCCTGGGCTTCAATCAATTCCTTGCGAAGATGCTGAATTTCTTGTTTTGCCTCAATTTCTGACTGTGCACCCTGCAAGTCATCTGACAAAAATATGTTTATTTTAAAAGCAAGAGTTAGTATCACACTATAACCTCTACAATCAAGTATTAGCCCTCTCTATCATGTTTAGACATGCATAGTTAAAGAACATAGCACAATGAGTTAAATAAAATTTAGAAGCAAATTATATTAAGGATTTTAGTCATTTTACCCTGGTCAAAGAACAAAAGTACAGTTAAATATATATTAGTAATTCATAGCAATGGTATTATAAATGTGTATTAATATATACTAAGTTATACATTTCACTCATGTAGAGCTCATGTAAGGCTTGACATTCAGTAAGATGGGCATAATGCCATTCTTCTTTATTTTGAAATTGCTTGATAACAAGTCAGTAAAATTTCACTTGGAACTGGAAATGGAAAACAAAAACAAACTTTTCTTCAAGAAAAAGTATTTTAGCATTATTTCCCTAGTTGTGGGAAACATAATAAGAAATCTCCACCATTCTCACTTTGTCATCAGTATCTCCCCAACACTACACATACAACAAATGTCTGCTGAATAATTAAACGATGTAATCTCAATGATTTTATCAAAATAAATTAGATCCAGCATTACATCTCAAATATGCTCCGTCCTTTAATGTCTTTTCTCTAGTCACTCTGCTCATCTTTCACCATATTAAAATTTTCTGCAATTTTTTAAAAGTTTATTTATTTAGTGTGTGTGTGTGTGTGTGTGTGTGAGAGAGAGAGAGATAGAGAGAGAGCATGAGCAAGAAGGAGAGAGAGAGAGAGAGAGAGTGAGCATGAGTGGGGAGGAGCAGAGAGAGAGAGAGAATCTCAAGCAGGCTCTGTGCTGTCAGAGTAGAACCCAACATGGGGCTCAATTTCACAATCTTGGGATCATGACCTTGAGCTGAAATCAAGAGTTGGATGCTTAACTGACTGAGCCACCCAGGCACCTCCAAATTTTCTGCTATTGAACACTGACTTAAATAAGTATATCATCAGTTAGGCCATATTCTTCTAGTGCATTCTATTTGACTATTACTTTGACTTACAAGTAGCTCAGGCATAATAACTTTATTAAAAAAGAGCTAGGAGGGGCACCTGGCTGGCTCAGTTGGTAAAGCATGTGATTCTTGATTTTGGGGTTGTAAGTTAGAGCCCCAGGTTGGATAGAGAGATTACTTAAAAATAAAAGTCTTAAAAAAAAAAGCTAAGAATAAAAGTTTACAATATGATTACAGCTGGTCTTAGATGTTACATACCCATATTTTCACACTCCTAGACTATATCCTACTTTCTCTTGCACAGAAAAGTAATTTTGAGCCTAATTTCATTTATTCTAGTCAACCTATCAATTTTTCCTTCAAATGGTCTCTTGGTAAAGAGGGGGTCATGTAAAGAGAGAGAGACAGACTTTCCAGTTGGCAGGAGCATTGTCACAGCAACTACAAAATTTCTCTTCTAATGCCACACACTAAGTTTGCAGAAATCTTGGGGTGCCTGGGTGGCTCAGTCAGTTAAGTCTCTGACTTTAGCTCAGGTCATGATCTCTCAGTCTGTGGGTTCAAGGCCCAAGTCAGGCTCTGTGCTGACAGCTCAGAGCCTGGAGCCTGCAGCCTGCTTCGAATTCTGTGTCTCCCTCCTTCTGCCCCTCCCCCAGTCTGTCTGTCTCTCTCTCAAAAATGAATAAATGTTAAAAAAAAATTTAGAGTCTGCAAACGTCCTAGCTGACCACCTCTGGATTTATCATTATGTAGGACAATGTCCTTATTGTCAGGAGTTTTTAGGAGGGATGTGTCACAATGCCTAAGCCTTATTTTCAAGTGGGTTAGCAAAAAAAAAAAACCAAACAAACCTCCAAAACCAACCAAAACTGACATAAACGCCTTAGTTCTATGTTTGTGTGTGTTTTATTTTTTTAATCTTTTAAAAAATTTTTAATATTTATTTTTGAGAGTGTGTGCACGCACACACACAAGAGGGTAAGGGGCAGAGAGTGAAGGGGACAGAGAATCGAAGGCAGGCTCCAGGCTCCAAGCTGTCAGCACAGAGCCCAATGTGGGGCTCAAATCCATGAACTGTGAGATCATGACCTGAGCTGAAGCTGGACGTCTACCTGACTTAGCCACTCAGGTGTCCCAGTTTATTTATTTTTTTTTAATGTTTATTTATTTTTCAGAGAGACAGAGCACATGAGAGTGGGGGAGGGGCAGAGGGAGAAGGAGATAGAGGATCCGAAATGAGTTCTGCAATGAGCCCGACATGGGGCTTGAACTCAGGAACTGTGAGTCATGACCTGAGCTGCAATCAAGAGCCAGATGCTCAACCAACTGAGTCAATCAGGAGCCTCTGTTTGTGTGTTTCTGTTTTTTGTTTTTGTTTTTTAATGTTTATCCTTGAGAGAGTGAGAGAGACAGAGAATGAGCAGAGCAAGAGAGGGACACAGAATCTGAAACAGGCTCCAGGCTCTGAGCTGGCAGTCAGCACAGAGCCCGACGCAGGGCTCGAACCCACGAACCGTGAGATCATGACCTGAGCTGAAGTCGGACGCTTAACCGACTGAGCCACGCAGGTGCCCCTGTTTTTTTTAAACTAAGCACTTCTGACATTTGGGGCTGAATAATTCTTTGTGCAGGGGGCTGTCCTGTGGATTGTGGCATGGTTTGTTTTGTTTTGTTTGGTGCAAAAAGGTGATTTTATTAACGCACAGGGGCAGGACCCATGGGCAGAAAGAGCTGCCAATTGTGGTATGTTTAGTAGTTTCCCTGGTCTCCACTCACTAGATGCCAGTAGTATCCCCTCTGAGCTGTAATAACCAAAATGTTTCCAAATATTGGCAAATGTCCCTTTGGGGATAAAACCACTCCATGTTCAGAACTACTGTTTCATCTTACTAATTTGATAACCAAGAAAAAACAAATCTTTATGTAGATTTCTCTTCCACAGAAGCACTGGTTAGCACCTCTGAAACTGCTTTTTGTATATTCTAAAAGTGATCAAATAAATACTGTAGATAAAGAGAGCCAGTTTCTCACTGCTGGAGAACAGAATTAAAGCTATGGAAACAAGGAAGACGAAATTAATCCTATGGTGTAGGGTATGAGTTAGAGTATGAACTCAAATAGACCTGAATGTGTAGACAAATGCAGATGTAGAAATAAATACAGGTATGTGAGGCTGTATATATACATATACACATATGTGTGGGCATAAGTATGCGCGTATATCTATTTCTTAACTGTCTGTTGAGTGGGCCTAGATGCAATGAACACACCAAATACTCAGATCTCGGTTTCTAAATACTATTCTCCAATGAAAGAGCTCTTTGGAGAAATTGCTGACTTCATTGCTAAGGGTAGGAAAGTACAAGATGAATGTAGAACATCTTTTGTGTCAGAAAGTAAGAAAGGGCTCAAAGAATGGTTGGTTCGTGTTGAAAAGATACAAGGGGCTCCCACTGACCAAACATGGGACAATGTGAGCAACAAAATAGGGGCACCTGGGTGGCTCAGTCGGTTAAGCATCCGACTTCGGCTCAGGTCATGATCTCACGGTTCGTGGGTTCGAGCCCCGCGTCGGGCTCTGTGCTGACAGCTAGCTCAGAGCCTGGAGTCTGCTTCAGATTCTGTGTCTCCCTCTCTCTCTGACCCTCCCCCACTTGCACTCTATCTCTCTCTCTCTCAAAAATGATAAATGTTAAAAAATCTAAAAACAAAAAAACAAAATAAATAATGACAATGAAAGGTTATAGGCCACTGAATAACACATTAGTCCATGAATTCACAATAATATAGATAAACGAGAGGGAGGGAAGGAAGAGAAAAAAAACAAAACAAAATAAAAAAAAAACCCTCTTCCTTGTATTAGAAAACCAGCTGACAAATGTAAAAGTAATGACAGAATTAGGAAATTACTATTTGGCAACTATTCAGGCAAGAATCCTCAGCAGATGCTAACACTAAGTAGATAAAAGTTGAGAAGTAACAGGATATGTATACAAAGTTAACATCACCAGTGACAAAACAATTCAATATCAGTTGTCACTTGATATGACGTCCAATATTATTATTGAGACACATTTCACAAATAACTGTGGTTTTCAAAAATGTCAATGTCACGAAACGCAAAGACAGACTGAGGCATTGTTCCAGTTAATTAAAGGAGACCAAAGACATATGACAACTGAATACACTGTATGACTCAAGATATTCTTTTATAATGACATTATTTTTCTTTTATAAAAGACATAATTGGGACAACTGACAAGATGTGAATAAAGTCTGTGGATGTGATAATGTAATATATCAATGTTACTTTCCTAACTGTGAAACTTATATGGTGGCTATGGAAAAGAAACAGAAAATAAACACTGGAGTGTTTATTCGGGAGTAAACGCTATCAGGTCTGCAATCTACTCTCAATGGCTCAGGGAGAGAGAGGAAGGTGGATGGAGGGAGGGAGACAGATAAATCAAATCCTGTAAAGTGGTCACAACAAATGGAGTGAAAGGTTAATATCTGGAGAAATCTGAATGAAGACTACATGGAATTCTCTGTTCTATTCTTACAACTTTAAGTCTGAAATTGTTATTAAAATAAAAAGTCAGTTAAGCATTCAACTCTTGATTTCAGCTCAGGTCATGATCTCAGTTTTGTGAGATGGAGCTCCATGTCGAGCTCCATGCTGACAGCATGGAGCCTGCTTGGGATTTTCTTTTCCCTCCTCTCTCTGCCCCTCCCCTGCTTGTTCTCTCTCTCTTTCTCAAAATAAATAAATGAATATAAAATTTAAAAGATATTAAAATAAACAGTTAAAAGAAACATTTCTAAAAAAAGCATTTCTACAAAAATACACATACAAATAAAAAACTGAAACAAAGAAAATATGGCAAAACCCTAACAATTGTTGAATCTAATTGTTGGAACAATTCAACAACTGTTGAATCATAAATATATGAGTGTTTTTGGTACACTCCAACTTTTCTTGTGTTTGAAATTTTTCATAATTAAAAAAGATAAATTTCA